CAATGAATACATTGGTGACCGATTTAGTCTGTGTTGTTGTTAATGTATCAATGCATACATTGGTGACTGATTTAGTCTGTGTTCTTGTTAATGTATCAATGCATACATCGGTGACTGACTTAGTCTGTGTTGTTGTTAATGTATCAATGAATTCATTGGTGACCGATTTAGTCTGTGTTGTTGTTAATGTATCAATGAATCCATTAGTGACTGATTTAGTCTGTGTTGTTGTTAATATATCAATGCATACATCGGTGACTGATTTAGTCTGTGTTGTTGTTGTTAATGTATCAACGCATACATTGGTGCATCACAACGTTTGATTATAATTATGATGTTGCTAAGCTAGCAAAATCCATAGGAAAGTGATTCTTGAATAAGAAACTTGAAACCTATGTGTTGGTCTCATTCCAACGGTTCGAGTCTCTAGCGGATGTGTAATGGTGTATCGCGGTGGTCTGTTATTAATATGGGGTGGCTAGATGTCACCTCGGTATATAACCGGGGATGGAAGTATTTAATAGATTTCTGATAACGCTTTTTCCATGTCGGGGATATACAAACAGGTTCATAATCAGTAATTCCAAGTGCTCAGTGGAGTTCTGTTAATCCACAGTGACCATGGAATGCGTATTGACAGCAGCTAGCCAGCAAACCTTGGAGAATAGAGTTAAGGCCTGGTCTTAACTTTCGATATTCACGTCAGTTTTAAATATTGATGTATCTTTTCCACCGGTAACTTTGACTTTATATTTGACAATCTAATGCTTGATATTGCTGAATGATATGAAATAGCTTAGTTAAATTCCAATATACCAATATCAGTCATAAGCGTGGTGAAGGCTTTTATTGTGAGCATACTGTTGTTACCGTTTCAGATTGCCGAGACTGTGTGAAGTATAAGAGTTGAGTAAACACATTCGTCTAATTGACTTCTTGTTACTAGTACCGCCAAGTGTTTCTAATTAGGAATCCACACCTCCACCTATACCAACCCTCGAATACGAGTCCACACTTCTACCCTCACCTACGTTTTACACGTCGACTTTTCGTTGAGGGCTCAGAAATAACATGTCTTTGTATTTCAGGCAGTATAAGCACATCAATAGCATTCGGACACTGAACTTTTATTAAAGTAAATATCAAATTTGGAAGTCGTTTTATTTCATATTTTTTTCTTAGTTCATTAGGATTGTTGACACGTTTGCCTCTATATTTATGACAAACAGTATATTAACTTATTTTCTATACAGTTTCTTCAGGTTGGTAAGTATGGAGTATATTAATTAGGAATCGTCTCTTCCCCATTGATCTTCCCCATTGATCTTCGCGATTTACAAATGTTACGCTGTGCGGACCACGTCTGGTACGTATAGTGAACTCCAACTGTTGCCGACGACACGTTTAGTGGACCTGATAATTTGTTACAGCTATATTTGGACCTAAACTAAGTTGACCTGAGTAATTGTACACGTTTAGGGGGTTTAGATCGGTTTTCGGTAAAATGCCACCCCAATCATCATACATACGGAGAGGTATATGATCATTGGGAGTGGCATTTTACCGAAACGTGTAAAAATACTCAGAACACCTTAGTTCAGGTCCAAATATAGTTGTAACACATTCTCAGGTCCCTGTGGTTTGGTAAACGGACAGTTTGGGTATAAACCGAAACGTTTATATCGACATCAGTGTACATCGTCTCAATGTCACAGAAACCGTGTCCTATCCGTCATATTAAAATTGTCAACGACTTTCTTGGTTTCACTGGGAAGATCTAAAATTCATGTTTTGTATGCGCGCGTGGATCCTACATCCGGGACGTTCCGTGTTTCAGTACTGTATACGTCAGATTAACGATTTATTATGATAAATTTCTCCGATGACGGAATCGATTATGTATTAAATAATCATCAACGCATGAAACCCGAAATGATCATGTTGTAATCAAAGAAGTGCGTTATAACATGTCTTATAGGGATTGTGTACTCGGTCGGTCTACTGGATTTCTGAGTAGAGTAAGGTATACCTTATAGGGATTGTACTCGGTCGGACTACTTGACTCCTGAGTAGAGTAATGTATTCCTTATAGGGATTGTGCTCGGTCGGTCTACTTGACTTCTGAGTAGAGTAAGGTATGCCTTATAGGGATTGTACTCAGTCGGTCTGCTTGACTCCTGAGTAGAGTAAGGTATACCTTATAGGGATTGTACTCAGAGTTAATGTTTCTTGTTTACCTGTATGCGACCCTACCAACGTTTCTTGCATCTTGCACGAGTCAGGTATACCATTCGGCGTAATCCCTCTTTACATTCGGACAAAGTTGACATGTTTTAACATTTTAAAGGTTTAACTCATATGTTCCGCCCTATTCCCACCGAGCAGTGATTGACCCGAGCACTGCCCTTTCCTCGGTCCAGCTGCTGTAGTCTCTCATACAACCCCAACTCTCTCTTATTGAATATGTGTTGTCTTCCTGTGTAATGTATGGCGAGTCTTGTTCAAACACTTGCATTCTTCTGGCGTTCATTCCAATTGAAAGACAAAACAAAAACCTAGAAGTCGATAACGACTATGGACCTATTCAGGAAACTGTTACTGACGTGTTGATTGTTACCGTGTGTACTACAGAACACAGGCTTTTCCCGAACACTACTTTCCACAGCGCTGTTTAGAATTTATAACTGGTGAATAGACCATGCCGCAGTATCTCGCATTATCGATGACGTTTTCACTATGTAAAGTTTGAATTCCTACATAAAACACGACTTTCCACTTTGTTGTGTACGCTTTGGTATTTGTTGTGTATTGTTCGTCTCTTGTATTGTCTTGTATGAGGTCGTATTCAGTGCCACCACTTTCATCATTCGCCATAGTGCAGACAGTCGTTTTATTACATTTTTGTCAGTGAAATATCGGATTCTATCAACTTGATAAAACTGATATCTTTCACACTGTGACAGATATCAAAAGTGATATTTTCACCACTTTTTGGTATTGACCAATCATAACGGTATCCTCTATTCGCTGCATTCAAAGGCAACGATTTTTTGTTCAGATTCGGATTCAGAGTGCGCATACTTGTTAACCATATCACGTACATTGCTATTGATCACATCACGTATATTGTTCCAGTGACTATATCTCGTGTCTTGTTTTTAGTGACTACATCACGTGTCTTGTATTAGTGACTACATCACGTGCATTGTTTTAGTGACTCCAACGTGTGTCTCGTTTTAGTGACTACATCGCGTGTCTTGTTTTAGTGACTACATCACGTGTATTGTTTTAGTGACTACATCACGTGTATTGTTTTAGTGACTGCATCGCGTGTATTGTTTTAGTGACTACATCACGTGTATTGTTTTAGTGACATCATGTGTATTGTTCTAGTGACTACATCACGTGTATTGTTATAGTGACTACATCACGTGTCTTGTATTAGTGACTACATCACGTGCATTGTATTAGTGACTACATCACGTGTATTGTTTTAGTGACTGCATCACGTGTTTTGTTTTAGTGACATCACGTGTATTGTTTTAGTGACTGCATCACGTGTATTGTTTTAGTGACTGCATCACGTGTATTGTTTTAGTGACTACATCACGTGTATTGTTTTAGCGACATCATGTGTATTGTTCTAGTGACATCACGTTTATTGTTCTAGTGACTACATCACGTGTATTGTTCTTGTGACTACATCACGTGTATTGTTCTAGTGACTACATCACGTGTATTGTTTTAGTGACTACATCACGTGTCTTGTTCCAGTGACTACATCACGTGTATTGTACAAATGAACACAGTATTGTATTTTAATGGTGACTGCATCTCGTTCACCTTGCAAGTAACCACAACTACATTGAAAGGAAATACATATAAAAACTGAGCTTGTTTTATCTAGTATAAAAGTGTGTCAGCTCTTTGTGATTATCTGCTTGTATTTTACTAATTATCATTAGACTGGCCCGTCCCTAGTATGCTGATTTATTTAGGGAACAAAATATAATTTTGATCACTTAGATGTCTGATCCAAACTAGGGGAAGATAAGCTAGTTGAAAAATTCAACAGGAAATTCTTTACGAAAACAAAGGGCCTGATAGCTAGTATATTAAAAAAAAATACAACACGAAGTACCTTCCTCTCCTACTTTACTAAATACCCGACGGCCAGGACCTTCGTAATCCACGTGCTTGTTCTATGAATCGGTAGGTTTGAGTGAAATAGTCTTGAAAGAAGCATATGACCAAGTTGTCTATTATTTTTAATTGGTATCTCGTCAATATCTCAATGAGGGAATGAGTATTGGCCAAGTGTTAAAAATATCAAATGACATTCGGGGCACGAACGGTAAACGACTGGTGGTGTTGAGCACAGTTGTTCACTCAAAGGGAAACGTGTTATATTGTACACCTATACTTTATGAATGCCAACATTTATCGGCTTTCGTGACAGGAAATCGACAGCTGTGTTCAAGTTTCAGTAAATTGTAACACATCTTGTTATCCATTTAGAAAATCTTATTTCTTTTTTAATCCTGATGCTGATCAAACATGCTATACGTGTGTGTTATACAATGGAGTACGTACCTTGTTATGGCAGATATAATTATCATATTACAAAATCAATCCTAATGGATTTCACCGACATCTTTATCGTTCGGTTACACCACGTACAGGTACAACATACATTTATAACATTGTCTACACACCACACGTACAAATGGCTAAACGAGACATGGGATTTATATAGAAATATTAGACAGCGTAAAATACCACGCTATTACAAAAACAGTTGTAAAAGTTGAACAATTGCACAAACAAATATTATCCTTTATTTCTAAAACAAAGAGTGAGTGACATATACCTGTGATTATACCTGAGCGTACAAGACCTGGTGTATGATATAGATTTTCCTTCCAATTGTTCCTCAAAGCTCAACTGAGATCGTTACCTGACCATTACGGTCCGCCTCGATTATACCATAGGTATAGTACCCGTATTTAACGGTAAAGCTAAATGGGTATGAATTACGGGTACATACCGATTTTGTGTGTATATGTGTACCTACGGTGTGTGTAGAGGGCCGAGCTTTTGTATTTAAGTCTTATACGGCTGATCTGTTTTGAATAGCGCGTTAACAAAAAGACACGGGAAATAATACAGACTTATCGATACATGCGCAAATTAATGACAAGTGTGTGTGCCGGGGTAACCGGGCAGTGTTGCTAGGGACTACTCGTTGTTTGAGCCTTACGAGACTATCCCGTGGTTCCTATACAAGTCCTATGGTGGCCTATGGGGTCTTGTTAGCAAACATTGGAGGAAACTATATTCCATACACAGGATATTTACAAAAAATTAATTAATTATACGGGGGCCGTTAAAGGCGACAACATGTCACAGGTAGGGATACCTCGCCCGTCTTTTTCGGGGCCGGGGCAGAAAGTTGGCGTTAGTTTGCCACAAATTGAACACCCACTTTCCAGAATGGAGAACCCGGAGCATTTAGGAGTACGTGGAGTATCCAGGGCCGGAGACAGGCCCGGGTCCCATCCCAACTTCGGGATGTCCAGCCGCCCTCTCGCTAACGAAAATACGTACCCAACGAGGAAAAGTATGAGTGCCCTAGAGAGGGAAAGCCGGAGGGGTTCCAGGATGGCTATGTCCTATCCTAACTACAACGCCACAGCCATCCCCGAGGGAGTCGAGGTTACGTACGGGGATCCCAACAAGACAAGACTCCCTGTTTTTGGTAAGGACAATCTTTCAAAAATCAATTTCTTTTTTCTCCTTGACATGTTGGTGAGTGTTATAAACACGGCGATATGTTTTAATAATGTCAAACAATTTATAGCTGTGACTAAAAATATCTCTGCGAGTGTTTGGGTGAAGAAATATTAATTAATAGTCTGTTATAAGTATATTATTCTATTCTAATTAGCCACCAAGCCTTGTTTACGAATTATCTATTTGTACAAACCTGCTTATATGTACAAATTGTGGTTATCTATACATCAAACATCGTCTTGGTACATTTTTTTCAAAGCACCACTGCTGCAGCTTTAGGTAACCAACGGTAACTAATTAATGCTTGTTGGCTCTGTCCTCAGTTTCCGCATCTGTTGTTAAAGTCAGAATACATTACTGAATTTAAAAAACACATGTTCATATTCACCCGTCGTGGAGGACAGTGGTATACGTTTTCAATCGTGTAGCTAACACAGTTTAGGAAAACATTATTCAGTAGTAAGAACATCACGCAAACCGTCGCCATTGTTTTGGCATCAGGTTTCCTGTCCTCTTCCACAAATATTAGTTCCTAAAGTAGGGATATCTAGTGTAATATGTTCCACAAATATGTTCAGCCATTGGCGAATGCTATACACAGAAAACTAAGCTAGATACATCTACAAATAAATGCTAAATACAGGAACAAAACTAAATGATACTGGAAATGTTTTTATTTACCTGCCAGCAGTATTCTGCTGTCATCTTTCAGTATATGAATTTATTTACGTAAGTTAGGTTCGTATTACAGTTAATTCCGTATCAATATCGCAACCCTGTCATAGATGTAAGTTAGGTTCGTATAAATATCGTCATCCTTGTCAGGGGTTAAGATAATCTCGTATAATCTTGTACTTCTCTCATAGAAGTAAGTTAGGTTCGTATAAATATCGTCCCAACTCTCATATAAGTAAGTTAGTTTGATATAGATATCGTCCCAACTCTCATATAAGTAACTTAGTTTGATATAGATATCGTCCCAACTCTCATAGAAGTAAGTTAGTTTGATATAGATTTCGTCCCAACTCTCAAAGAAGTAAGTTAGGTTCGTATAAATATCGTCCCAACTCTCATAGAAGTAAGTTAGGTTCGTATAAATATCGTCCCAACTCTCATAGAAGTAAGTTAATTTCGTATAAATCTCGTCCAAACTCTCATAGAAGTAACTTAGTTTCGAATCAATCTCGTCTCAACTCTCATAGAAGTTAATTTCAAATCAATTTCGTCTCCTCTCTCATTGAAGTTAGTTAGTTTCGTATTAATGTCGTACCCCTGTCATAGATGTGAGTTCAATAAATTCGGATCAATCGCGTAACCCCTTTGGCAATTGTTAGTTAGTTTCGTATTCAATCTCGTATCATTCGTCAAAGAAGTAATTTAGTTTCGTGTTATGCTAAGTTTGTTTGAACCCAAACAGTGTTATATAAACTTATTTTGCGAGCTTTCAAAGTCTGTTTCCTTTGTCAAGGAAAGAGTGCAAATGACAGGTGTTTCGAATCAATACCGCTTGAAATTCGCTAAGCCACATTTGCAAGGTCAGTAAAGTCAATTTTCGAGACATTTCGTCAAAATGACGGGTAATATGTTTACCCATTCCGCCACTTAGGTTCGTGTCAATCTAGTCCGAATCCTCACAAAATAGTAAGTTAGTTATTAATCTCGTAACCCCTATCATTTAACGTAAGTTCAGTGAATTCGTATTAATCTTTAGTTCCCTCTCATAATAGTAGAGGACTTTCGTATTAATCTCTAGTCCCCTCTCATAATAGTAGAGAACTTTCGTATTAATCTCTAGTCCCCTATCATAATAGTAGAGGACTTTCGTATTAATCTCTAGTCCCCTATCATAAAAGTAGAGGACTTTCGTATTGATCTCTAATTCCCTCTCATAACAGTAGAGGACTTTCGTATTGATCTTATTCCCCTCTCATAATAGTAGAGAACTTTCGTATTAATCTCTAGCCCTCTCTCATAATAGTAGAGGACTTTCGTATTGATCTCTAGTCCTCTCATAACAGTAGAGGACTTTCGTATTAATCTCTAATTCCCTCTCATAACAGTAGAGGACTTTCGTATTGATCTCAAGTCCCCTCTCATAACAGTAGAGGACTTTCGTATTGATCTCTAGTCCTCTCTCATAATAGTAGAGGACTTTCGTATTGATCTCTAGTCCCCTCTCATAATAGTAGAGGACTTTCGTATTGATCTCTAGTCCTCTCTCATAACAGTAGAGGACTTTCGTATTTATCTCTAATTCCCTCTCATAACAGTAGAGGACGTTCGCATTGATCTCAAGTCCCCTCTCATAACAGTAGAGGACTTTCGTATTGATCTCTAGTCCCCTCTCATAACAGTAGAGGACGTTCGCATTGATCTCAAGTCCTCTCTCATAACAGTAGAGGACTTTCGTATTTATCTCTAATTCCCTCTCACAACAGTAGAGGACGTTCGCATTGATCTCAAGTCCCCTCTCATAATAGTAGAGGACTTTCGTATTAATCTCTAGTTCCCTCTCATAACAGTAGAGGACTTTCGTATTAATCTCTAGTCCACTCTCATAATAGTAGAGGACTTTCGTATTAATCTCTAGTTCCCTCTCATAACAGTAGAGGACTTTCGTATTAATCTCTAATTCCCTCTCATAACAGTAGAGGACGTTCGCATTGATCTCTAGTCCCCTCTCATAATAGTAGAGGACTTTCGTATTAATCTTTAGTCCTCTCTCATAATAGTAGAGGACTTTCGTATCAATCTCTAGTCCTCTCTCATAACAGTAGAGGACTTTCGTATTAATCTTTAGTCCTCTCTCATAATAGTAGAGGACTTTCGTATTAATCTCTAGTCCTCTCTCATAACAGTAGAGGACTTTCGTATTAATCTCTAGTCCTCTCTCATAATATTAGAGGACTTTCGTATTAATCTCTAGTCCCCTATCATAAAAGTAGAGGACTTTCGTATTAATCTCTAGTTCCCTATCATAATATTAGAGGACTTTCGTGTTAATCTCTAGTCCCCTATCATAAAAGTAGAGGACTTTCGTATTAATCTCTAGTTCCCTATCATAATATTAGAGGACTTTCGTATTGATCTCTAATTCCCTCTCATAATAGTAGAGGACTTTCGTATTAATCTCCTGTTATTGAAGTAAGTTCAGTAGATTCGTATGAATTTAGAACCCCCTCCCATAGAAGTATGTCAAGCTTTTTGTTAGTCTCGTCCCCCCTTTCATAGAAGTAAACTAGTTTTGTATTTATCTCGTTACCCAGGTACGCAATGCGCTGAATGAACCACATCTGGATATTTTCCAAACTTTAATAGTGTTCGGTATCATGATCCGTGTGATTTTATGACTTGAAATCTATGACATTCTATAACGTCATTTTCACACCAGCACCGTGAAATAAATTGCAGCACAATCGAACTTGACCTGCTGTCATTGAAAGCAATAAAATGGATTTTATTTACCAGCGGATTTCTCCAGTCTATCAAATGATTCATAGCCCTTGAATGACGATACCGTTACCAAGCACATACCTACCTAACCCAAGGGGGATACGATTATGGTAGCATGCTACCAATGTAGTGGACTTACATAAAACCACTTGTTATAAATCCTTCCGTTTAAAGATCCTTGTATTTGTGTCGTTTACTTGTATTGTAATGTATTGTTGGGGTTTTCTTACCGGTCTCAAATATCAACATTTCCGATAAAACACACACAAAACCGGTCAAATATTTAGCCTGGAAAAAATATCAATGCTATATTTAAATATTTGTCTTGATTACCCGTCTACATACCACGTTAGTTTAAAAGTCGATATCTGATATAGAGTTCGGGTTTGTTTTATAGCAAAGACGTCCACGACATGCTTTTATCAGCTTGTCTATACAGCATATCCAGATATAATTAATTCAAAACTTATGTTGTACATATCTTCGTTCATGTTTATATAATTGTATTAGGAAAAACCAGTAGCAATGTTTACATATTTGTAATAGGTTATATAGTTGATTTAGGGGATACAAGTAGCTATGTTTACATTGTTGTATTAGGTTATATAGTTGATTTAGGGGATACTAGTAGCTATGTTTATATTGTTGTATTAGGGAAAACTAGTAGCTATTTATTTATTTAAGGATTAACTTCAATAAAAAAAAATATGTTATGGAGATATAACACACAAAAAACGGAGTGTACTTTAAATAACCCGCGAAGCGGTTTATGATGAGAGTACACTCCGGTTTTTTGTATTATAGCTCCATAACATAAAAAATATATTCAAGTCAATCCTTATAATTTAATCTACTATACACAATCCCTGTGGAAATCCACTTTTATTGAAGGACTCTTTTCTCTTAGAAATTATTACGCCGCTGTATCAGCCAATCAAAAGCGACGTTACAAACGGCGACGTCATTTTTTACGTTATGGGCTGATAACATAAATTGTTAAGCCAATGAAAATGCTTGTTACAATCAAGATTAAATTATTAGGGATAATCAAATGGACCAATCAAACGCCATATACTAAATTAATTTCTCAGTTAGCTCATGTTTTATCTCGAAGCTACCATGTTAATTTAGAGTGATTCTTAACCACTAGTTTGATAGAAAAAAATTATGATGAAAATAAAAATAAATTATTTAAACAATTGTATACATCTGATTTGGGGAAATATACCTAAACACCAGCGATCACTAGACTGCTATCACTAGACTTCTATCACTAGACTAATGTTATTTTATCAGGTACTACTCGGTTGGCACCCAGTGTGTTGCTCTCTCATACTGAGCAAGTTACCACTCACTGCTACTCGGGTGTAGGGGATTAGGTATTTACTCTGTGTTCCTCCAAAATTACTTGTCAATTTTTTAAACGGTATTTAATGTGGTCTCATATCTCTATATGTGTGGACAGACATGTCTGTATAATTAAATCTCTAGAGTAGCGAGCAATACACACCC